TTTTTTTTTTTTTTTTTTTTTTTTTTTTTGCTTTTTATTATATTTGTTAAATAGAATTATCTGAAAAATAGATGAGACTTTGTTGTTGCTGCTGTTGTCGTCGTCGTCGTCGTTATTGTGTCGAAAAAAGAAAATGAAAAATGTTCCATACGAATTGCCAATTTGTCACTTGTCAGTCAATAATTGCAATTCAACAACCAAAATACTAATATAGTTGCAATAAGTTATTTTAATCTGACCAATTATTGTTTAAAACAAACAAAAAATAACGTTATTAATTTTATGATAATTTTGAACTGTTTGACAAATGTAAAAAAAGAACTTGAAAAGTGGTGAATGTATGCAGAATGAGTCTTAATCAAATTAATTTTTGCTTTCTTTTTTTTTCTTGTTTTCATGACTTTATTCTTGAAGCTTTTTTTTTGGCTTCTCAAAATGTTTTACTTGTAAGCAAAAGTTTTTCAAGTTAACTGAGGAATTAAATAGTTTGTTTTGACCTTCATTTCTGTTGTTGATTTCTCACAAATAATTTTCGTATTCAAACGATAAAAAAGAAAAACAGTTACCGTTTAGCAACCAAATAAGAAAATTGAAATAGACAAAAGAAAAAAGTGTCTTGTGCAAATAATTTGTAAGAAAAAAACTTAAAATCTTGTAATTTATGCAAATACATTTATTTTTTGGTGCTTTTTTTTTTTAGAACATTTCCACGTATTTGTTGGCGATTTGGCTGCCGAAGTGGACAGTGCAACGTTGAAGAATGCCTTTGCACAATTTGGAGAAATCTCGTTAGTATTTTGTTTCGCTTAGCCTTCTCTTGACTCCTTTAAGCTTCTCAGTTTTGCTTAGCTCTTTTTAGTGTTAGCTACAAGTTTAGTGCAATGCAGTTTTGTTGAGTTTAGTTCAGTTTGGTTTAGTGCAGCCTACTCTTGTTTGAATTTAGTTACGTTTGGTTTTTTCAATTCAAATTCAATGAATCTTTGAAGATTGAAGAGATAAATTGAAAGCGAGCAATCACTTAAAAAATGTAGATTTTTTTTTGTGGTAGTTGCTGTGGCAGTTTTATTCTAAAACCTAGTTGATGCTTACAATTTTCCAGGTCTATCTGAATGCTTTAAAGGTTTTTAACAATTTATTATTGCTGCTGTCAAGATCCTATTTTTTTTTTATTTTACTATGTCTATTATTGTTGTTGGTAATGATAATTTTGAAAAAAAAAGGAAAAAAAAACAATCTCGTGCTCACTAAAATAGAATTTTTTTAGACTTATTTATTAGCATTATTGCATGTGTAACATAGAAAATTTGGCAGACACAACAATAAGTTTATAATTTCAAAATTCAGAAAAACAATACAAGCCAACAATCTGTTCAACTGTATAGATGAACAAACTTATTTCATTTGTCTACCTATTTGCTCATCAATACAATCTGAAAGATTTGCTGTTGACGCAGAAATAGAACAAAAAAAAAAAAACATCAATGAGAATCAATTATGGCTGTTTTAATTGAAAGTCAAAGTATCAATTTATTTGGTTTATTTTCGAGCTTCTCATTAAACCATTTAGCAACATAGCAGTCAACCAAGCAAAAAACTACTCATTTAAATCCTAAATTTACACACGAAAAAAATGCTAGAAAATTCCACCAATCTTTTTTCAATCAGAATTTTATGTAGTACTGTTGCAATGTACTAAAGTTTCACATCTAATAAATGTTTAAATTTAGAGAAGCTAAAGTAATTCGTGATCCGCAGACACTGAAATCTAAAGGCTACGGTTTTGTTTCATTTCCAGTTAAGGAGGTAAAAACTTTAAATATCTGCTGCTACTTTTGGTGCCAGAAAAAAAAGCCAAGAAAGAATGAAAAGCCACTTATAAATTTTTAAAGTCACTGGAAATCCAATTATATTTTTTCGTCTAGTTGAAACTGCGCAACTAATGAACAGTTAATTTGACTGAAATGACAACAACGACAACAAAAAAAAGAACGACTCTAAATGACGAAAATCAAAGCAAAAAAACTTTTAATTTTACTATTAGCTGAAACTTTTAATTGCTGTTGCTGCATAGTTTTTCATTTTCAATTAATGTACAACTCAAAATGATTGAGAAAAAAAAAAAAGAAAGATTTTTTTTTGTTTAATTTTTATAGAATGCTGAAAAAGCAATAGAAAGTATGAATGGTCAAATGATCGGTCGTCGTCAGATACGTACAAATTGGGCAACCAGAAAACCGAATCCCAGCGAAGATGGTTCAGTAAAAGAACAAAGTTTTGATGAAATATTTAATGCTACGCAAGCAAATAACACCTCAGTTTATGTCGGTAATATCAGCCCCACTTGTACAGGTTAGTAATTATCTGAAAACTAACCTATTTTGCTACATCTTTTGACATTCTTTTTGCTATCTAAAGCTTCGGTTGCACAATCTGACGTTCTCTTAAGTAATGCATTTAAAAGTGTTTCTACATGATTACGGAAGTGTCTGCAATTAAATCACCAAACCTGTAAGTTTGTCTGAGAAAAAAAGTGCTTGATTTTCTTGATGATAAAATCTTTATAAGTTTATAAACCAATGACTTTTTACTGTTCCACAAATAACAAGTTTTTTGGTGTTAGTTTTTGAAATTGATTTAAACAAATAGAATAAATGAACTGTTAAATAAATGAAGTGATGACTGTTCAGATATAAAATAGAAAAGACAAGAATAAAAAATTATAAATATTAGTTCTTTCTTTCTAGTCCAATTTAAATCACCGATCACATTTCCACAGTTTGTTTTTTGGGAAGATATACAGGCAACTCTGGTTGGTTGACTTATAATTGTACTAAACACTCAACATTGATGATCTGGCAGACTGTTTTGACAGCTTAACCGCTGAATCAAACTGTCAACACAGTTCATGATCATTTGGCTTAGAAGAATATTTGCAGTCTGTGGTGGTTACTTGATTTTGCAATGCCAATGCACAGTATCACTGAACAAAACCTGAAGGCAACAGACACAGCAGGAATGCTCTAAAATACACTTTTTATATTGCTCAAATGGGCTATTCAGTTGTGGGTTTTTCAGATAACGATCTACGTGAAGCTTTTTCCGCATGCGGTACCATAAATGAAATTCGAGTTTTCAAGCAACAGGGTTACGGATTTGTACGATTTTCCAACAAAGAAGAAGCAGCCAAAGCAATTATGATGATGAATGCCAAGGAATTGAAGGGACAAGTTTTGCGATGTAGTTGGGGTCGTAATCCTACCGAACATAACGTTAGCTGTTTTCTTTTATTCTGTAAAAAGAATTTGGTACTTTTTGCTGTTTTTTTACTTTAAACTTTTAGTGCCAAGTAAACAGGTAAACAAATAAAAACACCGTATTTATGTATCTGCTCAGTTCAATAATAAAGGAATTGCTTAGTAAAGTTAAAGAATATGGCTGAATATATAAAAATAAGAAAAATTTGTAAAAAAAAAAAAGTTTAGTTTTATATTTTTTTTTTCCTGGTAATGAATTTATTTATTTATTTTAAACAGTACTGCTTTTATGTTTATATGGTAGTTTTTTTAGCAGAACTGTTTTTGAAATCCTAAAAGAAATGTGCTAACCCTAGTATAACTGCTTATTTGCTCTTACTTTGCTCTTTCTTTTTATCGATATAATAAGCTCATTTTTATAACAGTGATAAAAGTAAAGCAAATAGATAATATAATTTAATATGACAACAAATTAGTTTAATAGCTCTTTACATAGGTATATAGATTATAATACAACAAATTCATTGATCTTAACATGTAGTGAATACCTTCAATTACAGGCGGTTACCACTCAGGCGTTAAACTGTTTACAATTTATGAATACAAATTTTACCGGTATCAATCCGTTGATCAACCCAATCTCCTGGACTCCAAACCATTTTTTTACAGATTTTTATAATCCGGCAATTCTACAGCCATATCAAGCATAAAACGGCATTATTCTCAGGTGTTGTTTTTTTGTCTTTTTTAATCGTATTCTTTTTATCGTACATTTACTCTTCAGCAAACAACTAATCTTTCTTCGTCTTTCAACTTTGCTTTTTTTTTCTTATTTTTCTCGTAACAGTGTTTCAACTATTGCCATTAATCGAAGATAACATTTGAAACAACATCTGCAAAAAACTACAA